AGTATTACTTAGTTTATTTTATAGGACACTAAAATTTGTTTCATAAAAACATTTTTTGGGACATTGAATTTCGTCCTATAAAAACATTTTTTGGGACGCCCATATTTGTTTCTAAATGTAAACATTTTGTGACAACATAAAGTGTCCTATATTATAGTCTATTAGGACATTTTTAAGTGTTACTTAAACCATTTTATAGGACTATGAGTTTTGTATCATAATCCTAGAGTTTTTTAGGACACTCAAATTCATCCTATTAACCTAATACAACACCTTTAGATGAGACACACACATTTTTTGTCCTATAAACTTAAAAGTCCTATTAACTAGCTTATTAGGACACTAATGAGTGTCCTATAAAGCCCTTTTTGTTGTAGTGTCATTTAAACAAAATAAATGTCATACTAATCACTTACCAATCGGAACGCTTTGATCATCTTCTTCATCATCAGAATTTGAATTCCGACCGTAGTCGTATCCGATTATAACTTTGTCATTTCCATTATTATCAATATGATTTACAATAGTATAATCTATATTATTCGGACGATACGGAAATCTTTTACACTTACAAAACGAATATCATTATATGTAGAACATCACTTGAAATCACGATCATGAACACAAATGAAGATAAAAAGCAGAATTACCTAATGATCAATTAGAGGGATCTTTAAGATTTGTAACTCCCAATTAATTATTAGGGAGTTGCATAAATGTCAAATTACATAATCACCCTTGTATTTAATTTATAAGTTACATTTGAACATAAAGTAAAGAGAGAATATGATTAGTTAGTCTTGGTTAGTGTAGTTAACACAAATTTCTTGGTTAGTATTTGAACCAACCTCTCTCTTTCTCTCTCTCTCTCTCTCTCTATATATATATATATATATAGAGAGAGAGAGAGAGAAAGAGAGAAGTTGGTTCAAATACTAACCAATATATATATATATATATATATATATATATATATAGGGGCTCATTCAAGGGAAAACTGATTAATTTGTGATAACTGTGAGATCCAATCTAAACCACAAATCAACGGATAAATTAGGAAATTAATAATTATGGTGATTTGAGTTAAAATTATAATTAAAGAACATTTTAGGTATTTTTAAAAAACTCTTATCTCCTCTTTCCTCACTCATCTCTCCGACCTCCAATCTCCGGCTTCCGGTGAACATTAATCTGGTATGTACCAAGTAATCACAAAGATACACAATGTGATACCCATTGTGATACATTGTGATACCATTGTGATACCAACTCAAACCTTAAAAACAAAGATACACAATGTGATACTCATTGTGATATACTGTGATATCGATTTCACCGGAGGCCGGAGATTGGAGGTCGAAGAGATGAGAGAGGAGAGATGAGAGAGGAGATAGGAGAGAGGAGAGAGGAGTTATTTAAAATACCTAATATGCCCTCTAATTATGATTTTAACTTAAACTACCATAATTATTAATTTCTTAATTTATCCGTTGATTTGTGGTTAAGATTGGACCTCACAGTTAACACAAACTAATCAGTTCTCATTTGATTAGGCTCCTATATATATATATATATATATATATGAGTTGGTTCAAATGTTAACCAAGATTATTGTGTTAACTTTGTTAACCAATCTTGGCCATTGATTTTTATAATAAACGGTTGTGATTAATCATGATAAAAAATTAATTTTTTAAATTTATAATTTCAAAAAACATATGTAAACAAAAGGGAAAAAGGTATTTAAGTAATTTTCTTTTTTATGTAACTACCATGTCATTAATTGGGAGTTACAAAATCAAAAAATCTCATTCTTTAATGTAAGAACCATATGAACACACACACACACACATATATATATAGAGAGAGAGACATATGAACAACATGTGAATCATATGAACAACATGTGAATTGTATGAACATCTTCTGTATATTCAGGAGCCAACTATATTGTATGTACATGAACACGTATGAACCAAGGCATTAGGGTTGTGTGTTTTCATACGTGCTCACATGTTATGTGTGTGTGTGTGTATATGGATTCATATGAACATCTAGTGACTTGAATAGACATGAACACTTATGAATCACGGCATCTAAGGCTGTGTGGTTTCTGATGTATTCATATGTCTTTATATGTTTGTGTGTGTCCCTATGTCTTTATATGTCTTCATATGAACATCTAATGCACTATATGTTAACTTCATATCTCTTCGCCTGTAAACTGATTAAATATCTCAACATAGCCAACTCCTGAATATACAGAAGATGTTCAACAGGTCAGCTGCAGTCACCTTTTTTGCAAGATAAGTGAGAACTGTAAAATGTGAGAACTGTCAACTAAAACGAATGCAATATCATATTAATCCATTACTAATACAAACACTTTGATCATTGTCTTCACTTGCAGAACTCGAAGTCCGATTGTCATCGTAAATCATTTTAATCTTCTCATTCCCATTGTTGTCGATATGTTTTCCAATAGGTTTATCCATATTAGCTTGGACAATATCGAAAACTTTACTATTGGAAATCCTTTAACAATCACAAATTCAATAACATTATAGATAAATAAATCAAATTTCAAAAATAATCACAAATTGAATAATAAGATCAATATTAAATCAACATCAATTATGGGATTTTTATATTTTGTAACTCCCAATTAATGATATGGGAGTTACACAAAATGGTAAAATTACTTAATTACCCTTGTCATTAACATATGAGATGTATGTAAAAAATGGTAAAGATTGATTTTCATTGGTTGAGCTTGATTAACAAAGTTAACACAATAATCTTGGTTAACATTTGAACCAAACTATATATATATATATATATAGAGAGAGAGAGAGAGAGAGAGAGAGTTTGGTTTAAATACTAACCAATTTTTATGTGTTAACTATGTTAACCAAGCTCAACCAATCATATTTCATCTTTTCCTTAGGTTCAACTGTAACTCATATATTAAATACAAGGGTATTTAAGTAATTTGTCATTTTATGTAACTCCCAAATAATTAATTGGGAGTTACAAATATGAAAATATCACAATTGATCATGATGCAATATTGACATTGGGTTTCACATGTGTTCATGTTTTATAATTCACATTTGTTTTAATCGACAGTTCTCACCTTTGACATATGAACACATCATAAATCACACAGCCTTAGATGCCGTGATTCATAAGTGTTCATGTATAGTCAAGTCACTAGATGCTCATATGAATACATACACACACACACAGAACATGTGAAAACATGTGAATACGTATGAAAACACACAGCCCTAGATGCCTTGGTTCATAGGTGTTTTTGTACATATAGTAGAATTGGCTCCTGAGTATACAGAAGATGTTCATACGATTCACATGTTGTTCATATGTCTAATCTTTTTTGTTTGATGTGGTTTGAAGATATACACAAGTTGTTCATACGGTTCACATGTTCACATGTCTAATCTTTTTTGTTTGATGTGGTTTGAAGATATACACAAGTTGTTTATATGTCTGACAACTCGTGTATTAGAGATAGATTACTTTTTACCTAAATACCCTTTGATATTTTGTTCACATATGTTAATTGAAAATATTAATTTAATAATTAATTTTTAAATTTCATTAAATCACAACCGTTTATTATTCAAATTAACGGTCAAGATCGATTAACAAAGTTAACACGATAATCTTTGTTAGCATTTGAACCAGCCCCTATATATATATATATATATATATATATATAATTGGATTATTTATAATAATTTCAATGGATATATTGTTAGTATTATTTATTGTATTTCATTCATCAACTATTTATATACTACTAATCCGCTAACCCAATCCAACCATCCCCAAACCGCAAGGGTTGAGTTATTCATTTAAATGAGCTGGTTGGGTTGAGATTTCTCCAAACCATCATAATTAGATTGGGTTGTATAAATGTCCGCAAACCACTCAATCCAACTCGCGTATACCTGTAATAGACAGTTTAAAATCTATGAAATAGCAGTGTCGTTATTGCTAAGCCAATTATTCATCAGGTTATTATCATTTTTAAGGCATTGGAATGGAATCATCAAGAAAGTTTTTTTTTTCGAAAGTATATAATATTTATATACGGCAAATGCAACAAATAAACTCACACACCCTCCTCACCTATGATGAGGTTTGAACCCCTGACCTTCTAAAAAGCAAGGGTTATGATACCGCTAGGCTAAAGGCCATTTGGCAACAAAAGTTAACTTGTTCTTCATATACAAGTGATTAACATTGCACGACTCAAACTGGTATAATTCTTACATGCGAGTTGTTGAAAGACAAGAATATTCTAAGACTATCATAATGATGAAGAAAATAGGGATTAGAAGGATTTCCTGAATTGGTCACGTTGTTTAATCATGTGTTCGCCATATCAAGATGTTCAGAACAATCAACAACCGAAAAACACAAAGAATGTTGCAAGAGATCAAATTCAAATCCACTCTTATATCATGTTACACAAAGAAAACATTAATCTACAGTTAATTTAAAATTCTCGCTTTCAAAAAATCATAGTTCATCGCTTTTGGCTTGTTACGCTACTTTCTCTCTTAACTTCAAAAATAAGCTATTTATATTTGTCATTCACTCCTTTATTTAATTTGATATATACATTTTAGTTGCGAATAATTCGTAATACTGACATGACGTCAAAAAAACTAGTCGTTTACGTCTTAACGACCTCGTTTTTGCGTCTTAACGATGCCGTCTTGTATCAATCATCCAAATGAAATTGAGATGACTTACAATAGAAAAAACTAAAAGAAAACATTAAGAGCTAATAATACAAAGTAATTCAATTTTTATTCATTTATATATTTTCAAATTATAAATAAATTATTTTGTTAAAAAAAGAATTTTAAAGTTTTAGTGGGTTATGATGAATACCATCACAAGTTTAATTCAAATTATAAATAAAAAAAATAAAAAATAAATAAATAAATAAAAGATTAATTGTGCTTTTAGTAGTGACAATCCACCAATGTTGGGGCGGCGGATAAACGAACGGCCGGTTGAGGTTTCTTCTCATTTTCCCCCGTCGGTGAAAATGTAAAGCTCCGGTTTTTACGTTGATCGTAATCGGCGGCAGCTGTGGTGGCTTCTCGTGGTGCCGGAAGGTTCAGATCCAAACCCAAACCCAAACACAATGCATCATCAATATTCTTTGACTTCTGATCATCATCATACACCTCCGCCGTGGTCACCGGACTGAAAGGAATCAAAGATAAGGTGGTGGTGTTTGTGCCGTTACTGTTTCCGCCTTTATTGCCACCACCCGCCACCCGGTGTCGTCTCATGTGACCCCCCAAGGCTTGTCCAGAATTAAATTCGGTGCCACAAATCGAGCATTCGTGAAGCTTGGAGGAGGGCTTGCTGGTGTTTCCGATCAATGAAACCCGGTTGTTCAATTGAAGAGAAAAGGAAGATGAAAAATTGGTATTCCTCAATGAGAATTCTGGTGATGGTGGTTCATTGTTGTCGGGAACCACCGTGTAGGGTGGCGGTTTACGAATGTCTTCGTTATTTTTAGGCTTTTTGTGGCTGGCTCTATGGCCTCCGAGAGCTTGAAACGAAGGAAAAGTCCGGCTGCATGTTTTGCATTCGTAAACAAAAACTCCGGCGTTTCCGGTGGCCGGCGTTTGAATATACTTTTTGCTATTAAACTTGAACATTCCGTCATAATTATCGTCTTTGTTTTTCTTGGACGACTGGCCTTTTGAGAGGAGGATTAGGGACCTGGCGGTATCTTCATCTTCCGTGGTGGTGCTACCCGCCGGAAAACCAGAAGAAGACGCCGGAGAATACGTTAAACGATGATCATCATTATTGTTGGTGGATGAAAATGTAAAAAGAATTGGGGATTGTGGCCTTTGACGTTTGGTACGCTTGCCTTTAGCGATGTTGGTGATATCCTTAGGACCACCTGCACCACCGTCAGCATCGTCAGCACCAGCAGCGGCAACGGTGGTGGTTTGTTCTACGGCAGCCTCCATGGGTGGCTAGGTTTATGATTACAACCCCAATTAGCAGTCACCACCACCATCACCGGCCAGCCACCTAAAGATAGAAAAATTCATGGAGAGAAAATATAGGGTTAGAGGAAGCATGCAATATTAAGTAGTGAGAGGTGGTGGGTGCATATTTATATACGGTTGTGCATGTGAGTGGGAGATAAAGAGAGAGAAGTGGTAAATTAAGAGTGGATGGAACACAAAATTTAAGAAGGAAAGGCCATTGCTAACATAGATTATGATATATAATACCCTTCTCTCTTAATCTCTTTCCAAAAAAACTTGTACTAATTGTGACCCTAAAAATAATGTAATAAAAAAGATTACACATATGAACAACATGTGAACCGTATAAACATCTTCTGTATATTCAGGAGTCAACTCTGGTGTATGTACATGAACACCTATGAACCAAGACATCTAGGGCTGTGTGTTTTCATACGTGTTCACATGTTTTCACATGTTCTGTGTGTGTGTGTATGTATTTATATGAACATCTAGTGACTTGACTATACATGAACACTTATGAATCACGGCATCTAAGGCTGTGTGATTTCTGATGTGCTTATATGTCAAATGTGAGAACTGTCGATTAAAATAAATGTGAATTATAGAACATGAACACTTGTGAAACCCCAATGTCAATATTGCATCATGATCAATTGTGATATTTTCAAATTTGTAACTCCCAATTAATTATTTGGGAGTTACATAAAATGACAAATTACTTAAATACCCTTTTATTTAATATATGAGTTACATTTGAACCAAAGAAAAAGATAGAATATGATTGATTGAGCTTAGTTAACATAGTTAACACAAAAAAATTGGTTAGTATTTGAACCAAGCTCCAGATATATATATATATATAGGGGCACGTTCAAATGAAAACCATGTATTTCTAAGAAACCATGTAAACCAATTTCGACCAATAAGAAAATTCTTTTTTTTCTAATTAAATTTAATCAATAAGGATATTTTGGTCATTTACAATATTTTTTATTAAATATGGAAGTTATTAATAAATCTTAATTAAGGAAATTATATAAATGGTAACATTTAAATATTTAATTATATTAAAATATTAAAAATTTGGATTTCATATATTGTAATGAGTTATAATTAGGAAACGTGTCTTGATGAAACAATTGAATTATAAAATGAAATCATCAAAACGTAGATGAACAAAAAAAATCCACAAAATGAAACAAATTTCATGAACATGAAACCGGTTCATGTTGCAAAGAAATTAGGTGAACTGAAACAATTTTATGGTGAACCCGTTGCATTGATGGTGTAGTTAATTTTTTTTATGAGAAGCAAAATGAAACCGGTGCATTTTGAAAAAAAATTATGAAAAGGAAAATGAAAYAGGTTTCATGAACGTGAAACCGGTTCATGTTGCAAATAAATTAGGTGAACCAAAACATTTTTATGATGAAACCGTTGCATTGATGGTGTAGTTGATCCATTTTCTTGATGAAAAGGAAAATGAAACCGGTACATTTTGAAAATAAATTATGAAAAGAAAAATGAAACAGGTTTCATGAACGTGAAACCGGGTCTTGTTGCAAATAAATTATGTGAACCGAAACATTTTCATGGTGAACCCGTTGCATTGATGGTGTAGTTGAGCCATTTTGTATTTCACTCGTCATGAACGAAGTGCATGATGAAACGGGGAAATGATTTTAATCTGCTATATAATCTTGAAGATTGTAACCTGCTCCAGAATCTTCAAGATTGTAAGGAYTAAAGGAATGATTCCATCAAATCGGTGGTGAAATAAGAAAATTATTGTACATGAAATAGTTTTCATGAAAGTGAAACTGGTTCATGGACATTATTGAGCCTGATAAGTGAAATGGTTGCATAAGTGAAACAATTTCATGTTGTATTATAAACTTTTATGAAGTCAGTAATCGATGAAAAAATTTCGTTATCTAAGTGTAACAGATCCATCTACCAGTATAATGAAAATTACGAAATATGATCAGTATTACGTGGATTAGTCTGTTGATTAAATTTTGAAACCAATTTCGTTCATATAATGTAATTCAAAATTTAAAACGATTCACTACATATAATTGAATATGGTGTATTATATTCATTTTTTTTTATATGTTTTATTGATGGATGTGATTTAAAGTTAAAAATAATATATTGCTTTAAAAAATGAAAATAGTGTCATTAATATCGAGAAGGATGTTACCAAATGTTAAATTTTGTTTACCATTTTTGCTCTTACCCTGTTGAAATAAAATAAAATTTTAATATATATATATATATATTTTTTTAATTTCCTAAAATAAAGTAAACTAATCTTGGTCATTGATTAAGAAAATGTATAGATGAGATTGGTTTACACAAATGGGGCAGGTTTTTATTTGAACGCTCCTCTATATATATAACCTACAATTATTTGGAAACTTAAAACATTTTTATGTCATATAAATCCTATTTTATTGTTGTTTGTTTGAAACAGTACAATGTTCAGTCCAACCACAATTAGCGACAGATCTGCAAAGGATTGTGTTTATGGTCATTCCGTAGCTAATTTCTAACGAAATTTGCCCGTCGCTAATACATGTTTTTCTAGTAGTGAAAAATGATGACAATACAAAATGGACCGGAAAAAAGTAATACAAAATAATTGTAGCAAAATGGTCCCAAACAGTGCTTGACTGCATCGGTTAGTAATTAGGACATTGACGCATTGATTGTTTGCACAGAAGGGTATATGTTTGTCTCGACTATTTGATTTGATAATAATACAAATACATCTGATCAAACACTTAGAATAATTATTAAATGTAGTGCTTGCCTTAGAACTATTCGGGTTAACAATATGTAATCAAATCCTTCAGGATATGTATTCGAATTGGTAACATGTTAATAATCCATTTCGGACTTGGTATTCAAATTGATATTCTGACTTCGTGTCCAAATTTGTATCTGAACATACATTCAGATTTGAATTTGGATTCATACCCAAACTTGGTACCTAAATCTACATCAAGATTTAGTATCCGGATTTGGTATCCAAACTCAATATACGGTTCTAGCATCTCGAAGTCTATATGATCCAAATAATTTGCAGTATCCAAGCTTAATACTTCATAAAACAAATGTATTGTTGGAATCCAAAATATAGCTTATGTTTGGGAAGAAAAATAGATAAGATTTTTCCTTTGTGAAAGTCTTTGTAATGGATTGTTTGTTTACCATTTAATGATGTCATTAAGAGGCAAATGTCTGATTCAGTCAGACATTTTCTTGTTTGGATGGATTTTAAAAAAGGTCTGAATGGTTCAATTAACCTGAATCGCTCCTTCACCCATCTACTCCCCATATGATTCAGATATGCAATTTTCCCACCTTTGTCCTCCTCGCCTCTTCCGGTTTGCCTCTATACTCTTCTCCCTATCGATTCTCCCATTCTTCTCTACTCTCTCCTCTCGATCGATTGTTGAATACCACTGCTGCAACATCAGTTGGAAACCAGCGATGCACCATCTGTCGGAATCACACCGGTGCATTCCTGTTGGAAACCTAGCGATGACCCCTGGTTTCAAATCTACCATCGGTTCAATAGGTAAGATCTCTCGACTTGCAAAATTCCAGTCTATTGTGATTGTTTGCTTTCATCTCTCTTCTCTGTATGAGTATTTTTGATCTCATAGGTTTCATGTCTTTGTTGTGATAATTTTGGTTTCATTGGTGTCATTAGTTCTACGATGTTGAGCTGATGATGACATGCTTCTTCTTACAATTTTTATCTTTACCACTTCCAAAATTTCCACAATCAGCAAGGTTCATACCTTTTACAGGATAAGATAGGTCGTAGAAGTGGAAGTGATAATGTACTTGAAAGGGAAGGATATGTTGTATCTGTTGGATTTTCATTGGGACTTGTTGCTTTTGGTATGTTGTTGTATCAATCACACTTTGTGGAAGTTGTAATTGTTTCTTACCATGTACTCTCTAATTGAAGGTCGTGGCCTAGATGCGATTGGTTTTACGGATACGTTAGTTGAGCGGTTGTTCCAATATGTCAGCGGCAAAGAGATTCACAATGTAACTATTGTTTGAATCTGTTCACCACATTTCCACAGGAGTTCAATTATTTGTACTATATTTTTGAAAGATGTGTGGTATTAGGAGTTCATGTGGATGACTTTGTTGCTTTGGCTTTCCTCTGGAAAGGTCCATTTTCTCCAACACATCGATAGATGATCACAATCGTGGTTCTGGGCAGGTGGTGCGTTACCAAATTTAGATTGGGTCATTGTAATGTAAATATTGTTTGTGAAAGAATAGGTTACTCATTCCCTCTTCCTAATTTTTGCTTTTGTGTTATATTGCAGATGATGGATGGAACACATATCAATATTGATGTAACCATTCCTGGAGCTATACTTTGCTTTGGGTCTTATGTACTTAAAGGTAACGTTTTGGCAACATGACTATATCCAGGATTGTGATTCTATGTGAACTTTGTTCCCATGGTCAGCAGGCTGCATATTGTTAAAACTCCAGATCCTCCCAAAAAATTCTCATTCTGCATTATTGTTGATGGCAGACTGAATCACAATACTTCATGTCAGTTCCCGTAATTCAATAATATGAAGCAGGTAGTATTATTTAAATACATATGGTACATGACTATCCTGTAGGTGTGGATCTACTTTAACACCTTTTTGCTTTCAGGATTCATCCATCAAAAGATTGGATTCAGGGTCAGACACCCAATGTAGTCTAGTCTTAGGTGGTGTCAAAGGTCTCAAAGATGAAATAGGTGAATCTGATGAAATGGGTTGTGAAGCAGTTGTTAAGGCTATGTGAATATTGTGGCTGGTACATGTATTTCACTTGTGAAGCAGTTCTTAAGCCACGTTCATGGAAGAAATGGATGCAACGCCTTGGGGTCCCTAAGACAATGAGTACATAACTAATTTGCGTAATGAGATTGCAAATCGATTGGTGTTAAATGCTTCAAATTAGAAGTATTATTCAACATATTGGGTTTGAACTTGTGTTTCATGTGATGTTTTGTTATGCCAAAACTTGAACAAACAATTGTTACGCTTGTTTAGATTGATATGATATCATGCATTGAGTTTGACCATTAATTATTTTCTATTTTTCATTTAGAAATTTCTATCAGAACTTCTGTCAGACATTAACTTTCATGAAACACAAGACTGGGGGTAAAATTGTTATTTTATGTTATTCAGACTGTTGATTCAGAACAGTTCCCAAACAACCATTTTCTAATACTAAATCATACAGAGTCTCTTAATCATTCTGATCACTTAATCATTTTGCACTCAATCATCCAGTATTTGCCAAACAACCTCTAAGTTATCATATACCCACGACACGTGTCACACAGAGATATTGTTGGGAAGTATGTAAACTTATAGGGTCGCACACAAAAATATACGTTTTCTACCATTTTTTGTAGACCCCTGATTCAATCAAGTTGATTATGGATATCATTATTTTTGGAGGATAATTATGAAAATATGTATTGGAAAGTGATTATGATGATTATAGTTGTGTTATATGTAAATACATATAATTATGTTAAAGTTTAAGATAATTATTTGTCACACCCCGCTAAAGCGGAAACACGGGATGTTAACAGACAAGCGAGTCATAGCAACAGTCTATAAATAACACCATTTCAAGTTGTTCAAAAACAAAACGGTTCATCGACATAACAGGAATTTGCAATTTACATAGCATTCACAA